AAAGGTTTTTTTTTTAAGATTTTATTTATTTATTTGAGAGAGAGAGAATGGGAGATAGAGAGCACGAGAGGGAAGAGGGTCAGAGGAAGAAGCAGACTCCCCGCTGAGCAGGAAGCCCGATGCGGGACTCGATCCCAGGACTCCAGGATCATGACCTGAGCCGAAGGCAGTCGCTTAACCAACTGAGCCACCCAGGTGCCCCTGAAAGGGTTTTGAAATAGTGAATGATTCAAGTGATTGGTGGTTAACTGATTGGAGAAAGAGTCCCCTGAGGAGAAACAAACCGAGGTAGAGATGATAAGAAGGAGCAGACCAAGTAAAGATCAGAGGAAAGAATATTGTGGACTGAAGGAATTGCCTGTGCAAAGTCCTTAAGGTGGGAAAGAGGCTGGGTGTGAAGAGAAGGAAAAAAAAAGGCCAGTGTTGTAGGAATTCAGTACATAAGGGTAAGAGTGGTACAAGCTGTGGCAAGAGGGATAGCCAGGGGTCGAATCATGTGGGGCTTTATATTCCAGGGTAAGAAATGTAGGTGAGTACACGGAAATGATGCAGTTACCTTATTTTATTTTATTTTTTTAACGATTTTATTTATTTGAGAGAGAGAGAGACCAAGAGAGAGAGCACAAGAGGGGGCAGGGACAGAGGGAGAGGGAGAAGCGGACTCCTCTGCTGAGCTGGAAGCCTGATGTGGGGCTTGATCTGAGGACCCTGGGATCATGACCTGAGCTTAACCAACTGAGCCACCCAGGAGCCCCTAGTTATATTACTTTAAAGGTCAGTCTGGTGGTTGTGTAGAAAATGGATTCTGCACCAGGTCCAGGAGCAGTAACAGTGGGCATGGGCAGTAGCTTAGTGGGGGAGAGGATAGTAACTTCGACTGGGGTGGCATTAGTGGATATGGAAAGAAGTTGGTAGATTTGAGATCACTTTCAGAAGTATTTTCAGAAGGGCTTTGCTATGGAATTATACTGGTTGGAAGCCTGAGGAAGAGGCCTGCAGTAAGTTTGAGAGGTCTGGAGTTCAGTAAGTAACATGTAGATGGTAATTAGAGCCAGGGCGGAGAGGAGATTCTCTACTCTAGTAATCCTTAACCTTGTCTTTACAATTTCAATCACCCGTGGGGCTTTTTCAAAATAGACTTGCCCATAGTGCCCCTGGAGATCACCTTCTGGTAGTATGCAAAGAGTCCCAACATCTTGTTACTCCTAAATTTGCTTTGTAGGTGAATTTGAACTGTCCTGCTATGGCCCCTAATCTTTTGAGTAGAACAAATTTCCTATTTATCTCCTCTTGTTTTCTGTTC